TATAAAGGCTGAACATTCTAAAGTAAGTAATACTGTTTCTTTTAGTATACCCAACACGCTCCAAATTCTAGAATTCATGGCTGTTTGAAACATTTCATAACCTCCCACAAACCAGTAGAACCTACATACAGAGAAAATTATCTAGTTTAACTCATCAAGTCAATATGAACAAACTCTTAGGACGGTACTATTGTCCGCTCAGTAGAATACTACTAGCACAGTTAGAAATATCTTCCACAAATTATGACTGAGTTGACCCTGTCTCAAAATAAAAAACAAAAACAAAAGGCTGGGGATGTAGCTCAGTATAAAGGCCTGGAGCTCAATCTCCAGTACCAAAAACAAAACAAAACAAAACAAAAAAAACACTATACTTCACCTTTTTATTTTTTTTTTTCCGAGACAGGGTCTTGGTAAGTATAAGTAGTTCAGGCTGGCCTTGAACTCACTATGTAGCCCAAGCTGGCCTTGAACTCCTGCCTCAGCCTCCCAAGTGCTGGGATTACATGTATGTGCCACACCTGGCTAATCTTTACAAGTTTTAATGGCCTTAAAGATATTTTCTCTAAATGCACTAAAGATACATTTAATTTCCTCTTCTTTAATAAAGTACTGCCAAAGTTAAAATGAATTTAGTCTCCTTCAGTAGTCTGGAAGCATTATAGTGAAAAGACAAAATTTCTTAATGTTTGCACTGTTAGAAATACTCTCAAATAAATAATTATTTTTAAATAATTTTAAGATTTATAAAATTGTAAGTTTTTATTATTGTGATAGAAATCAAGTGATCATGAGTCATTATATACCCTTAGAAGTGTGTCATTAAAGGTGTTTCACTTTATTATTGATCCTGCTAATCGAGTCATTAATAAAAAGAAATAACAGTGAATTCAAAAAATGTAAGATTCAATTATCTAAGCTATCATGTTATATAGACAAATGATTTAACCAAATGTCTTCCAAAAGCAATTTTTTTCTTAAATTCTAAGCTAACATCTGGAAGATAAACACTGGCATTCAGAGTTTTACACTTTAATGTTTATAATTTGTCTTCTGATCACTCTGGGCCTCCTATGAACTGATTCTTCCATTTAAAACTACCACTCCTTTCTTGATGCTTTTTCCTTACATACCTTAAATTCTTTAGTCAATCATTATTATCACTTTCTTATGTGAACCTTTGCTCCTCTGCCCCTCTGCCTTCATTCATAAAACATACATAGCAAAACCACAGCTTCAAACTCACAGAACAGGCAGAAGGCAAGTTCTGCCTTCTCTAGGCAGCCTACTTTGCACCCTGCCAGTGTGGCTCAATACACCTGGCAGAAAAATACAACCATGCTGACAAGTCCTGCCTTCAATCTGTGATCCCAATACTGAACAGCTTGCTATATATTCTTAGTTATTTCATACACAACCATGACCTTAATTACTTAGCAATCTCAGGATATTGTCCTAGTCTATACATTCTCCCATTCTCCTAGGAGATTATTTCAGTCCTTCATCTGTTTTTTAAACATCCAATAACTTTTCATGCACCTTTACTCTCAGCCAATGACCTTGACTTCTACTTCACTGAGAATACAAAGAAATCAAAAGAGAACATTCCAGTACCCCTATCACCACCATAAACACGCACCTATCAAGAACTACCATCCTGCCTGTCAATGATTATGCCAATATTAAAGCCAATCCACTGAGTACTATATCCCATAATCTCTCCCTACTTAAGGAATTTATTCTAGTAACTGTCCCTCTTTCTTCCTCAAAATGTTTAATTGTTGCCTTCCTACTGGATTAACATCTTCAACATTCAGATATGATAAAATTCTGCTTTTTAAAATAGTCAACATTCCCAAATTTACTGCCCTATTTTTGAACATCTTTGGAGCAAAGGTCCTTAAAAATTTTATCTTTGCCTACTATATAAAATTCTTCCCTTTTCCTTCTCTTGGGCCCAGCCTGATACATCCCAAAGTTAAGTACTTCTGAACCTATTTAGCATTACCATCCTTGCTCAAATCATTATCTTCTATCATGTTATTGCAATAGTCTCATTCTTCCATCCGTGCTCCCTTTAAACCCAAAGTCATAGCATGTTATTTCTCTGCTGTAACAATCCAAAGCAATAGCATGTTATTTCTCTGCTGTAACACTCCAAAGCAATAACACCCTAATTTAGAAAAAAGATACAATCTTTAATTGTGGTCCACAAGGCTCCAAGATCTATTCTTAATTTCTTATCTAACCACATACCCTATACTCAACTCTTCCTCCACTCACTCCTCCTTGCTGTACATGGCAGAGTCTAGACATGCCCTACAACTTTTTGTACTGGATGCACACTGTGACTGGAATGCACTTTCTCCACATATCAAAGTGGTATAGTAGGAACCTGTTTCAAGTCTTTGTTCAGATGTTACCTTCTGAATGTTGTTTGTCCTTTTTTTGTACGTGTATAATATCATAATCAATTGGTATCAATTTGGAGGGTGCCCTATATGATTTATAAAATACTAATTTACTACTTTAAACAACATATAGTAAGTATTCTTTGTAAAATTGATAAATTTAATAACTTACTAAATTTTAATCCTTCACTCAAGACTTACTAAAGGCATTATTTCAATTAACAGATAAGACACATTTGTAGTACCTATTTGTTATTTAAAATAAATTTAATAAAATTAAATACGTAATACCACTTTGTAAACATTAACAAGGTATTATCACCACTTAACAAACTGGTACAAGAAAAGAGCTTGAAAGTCCCAAAAAGCAGTTTATTCTTTTAAGCTTTATTATACATTATATCTGAAATAGTGTATTCAATTCATGTGGTGATGAAAGCCTTTACTCAATGATTATGAAAGATTAAATTCCATATGATCACATTTTTTTTTTTTGGTACCAGGGATCGAACATAGGACCTTGCGCTTGCAAGGCAGGTCCTCACATATTCTTAATAAGAATTAACTATTGGAATGTAAACATTATGTATAGCAAATGTACAAAAAAAAGTAAGGGGATCAAGAGATGAGTGGGGTGAGGAGGGAAGGGACAGGGAATGAAAAAGGGATTACAATATGTTACATACATGTACCAATTCCCCACAAGCAATGTAAACATCATGTACTCCACAAATGTACTAATAAACAAAATGATCTGAAAAAGATTTGAAAGCCAGGTTTTTAATCACAACTATCAAGTAGAAAGAGCTATTGTCTAGCAATCTGAATAACTATCTTTTATTTTATCGTGATACTGCCCACAGGGGTTATCTGCACATGAAAATCAAATTAGCCAGTGTTAACCAATCTGCTATTAAATCAAGTTATTAACTAACTAACTAACCAATTCCACACCTACATGGAAACATGGGAATGTTTTATAAAGCACCCTGAGAAAATGAAAGATTTAAGGTTTTCAAAAGCTAAGTAGAAAAAGAAAACTTGATGCTCCTACAAAAGAATGCATACGCCAGTCAGCAAAAATCATAAAACACTAGGTGTGGTAACACACTCCTGTAATCCCGGCTACTCGGGAAGCTGAGGCAGGAGGATTGCAGGATCAAGGCCAGCCTGGGGAACTTAGTGAGACCCTGTCTCAAAATAAAAAATAAAAAATAGGGCCGGGGATTTAGCTCAGTGGTTTTGCTGCCTGCTACGCAAGCGCAATGACCCGAGTTCGATCCCCGGTACCAAAAATAAAAAATAAAAAGGGTCACAATGTGCCCCAGTGGTACAGTAGCCCTGGGTACAACCCCCAGTATCATTAATAATAATAATAATAATAATAATAATAATAATAAAGCAAGAAAGAAAATCTAACAAAGTCCTTGGTATATTTCACATTTACGAAAATCCTTATGGGAAGGACAGTACTGGAGAGCAAGGAATTACAATTCACAAAGTGATGTGTTGATTAGTATAGCTCAACTGATAACAAAAAGAGGCAAAAATCATAATATTTAATACTTCATAGCCATTTCCACATTTACTGCAGTTTCACATATAGTACAGCCTTTTTTTCCCACAGAGACATCCACTTCTATTTAATAATCAAATTATACTACTTAGAACTACATTAATGAAAAATTACTGAAATAACAACTATAAATTCATTAACCATAATATTTCTATCTATGGAGTACATTCAGCAAACCTCAGGAAACAGCTCATAACTTCTCTATCATGGCATTGCTGACACTGAGTTTTGAGAATCTTTCATTGTAGATGTGATGGAGGAGCTGTTCTATCCACTAGACAATGTTTAGCAGCCTCTGGATACCTACATACCCACCAGTTGCAATTGGAGACACTGGCAAATGTCCCCGGTTGGGATGGGCAAAACTTCTGCTTAATGAGAACCATCAATATACAAAGAGAGAGAGATGGAAGGGAGGGTAGGAAGGAGGAAGGGAGAGAGATAAGGAGAAAGGGAGGAAGGGAAGGAAGAATAAAGGACTTATACTAGGCATTCTTAAACAGCTAACAAAACTATAAAAAAATTAAATTTTGATTTGGTGATGTTTAATGTACTAAGGATCTTATTTATAAGGAAAATACTTTTAAAACCTAAATCAATATTTTGTATGGTGAAAACAATAAACACACTATCAATCTAAGGTAAGACTCTTTTGTTCTTAAAAATGAAAAAAAAATTAAATAGCTTTCTCCTTATGTCTTACTTCTATCTTAAAAATAACACCCTACCTTCCTGCTGTTTCCCAGGAATAAAAACAACTGCGGTCTTTCTTTTCAGTTTTGAAGGCAAGAGAAGAGCTTTTTTTCCTCTGACTCTACAGGTGCTTCCTTAAAGTGCTCTCCAGGTGACCTGAGGTGACTGACAAGTCTATTTTGCATTTACAAACAAGTTTAATAGGACCTGCATTTAACAAAAGTGATAATTTGTTATAGCAAACCAGAATTAATTTTTGTATTTACTAATAACCTAGATACTACTCTTTCAAGTATCTCATTGTATTACTTTTATCTTACCATAGATGTAACAGATCGTGCATCTTCTTCATAATTTACTACTGGAGGTGGCTCTTTTCCATCATTTTCTTGCACTTTTTGCTCTAATAACTCTTTCTGTGCTGCAAACTTTGCCTCAGTACATCTCAGCTGCTGGACTGATTGTTTCAACTCTTCAAGTGTTTGTTTTTGGCTTAACAGCAGCACAATACTAAAAGAGAATAAATTAAATATAAATTATTTCAACTTCTTTAAGAAGTAAAGATATTAATGGACACTGTATATTTCTGCATTATGCTTTTGTTTCCTTTAATTTTCCTCTTTGAGGAATTCTTCTGAATCATAAGATGAAAATAAACATTGTAAGTTATCACAATAGTTATTAAATATCAGCATTAAAGAAAATGAAAGAAAGTGTCTGGAAGCACAAACCAAATTCAAGATACTTTCAAATATACTATGACCTATTGCATGCATTTTCTTTTACAACTAAACCATCTAACTCACGGAATATGGACACTTAGGACCACATGTGCAGGGCCTAAAATGAATGAAAATGAGAATGAGAATCTAAAATTTAGTTCAAATCCCAAAGGTCAAATTTGTGCCTAAGGTAAAATAAATCAGGGTGATAGCCTAGGCATCAAGCTTCATGTGTGTTGTGAGGCATGTGTTTGGAGTCAGGTACGGCTGTTATGACAAAGACTGAGGGCTGAGTGTCATAGAGGGAGTCTGAAAATCTCCCCAATATTACTAACATAAGAACAGTATATTTCCCCATCTCTTCCACAGACAACTGTTACTTGAAGACTGCCCGCAATGGGAATTTCAAATTAATTTACATACATGAACACAACAAGAAAACACATCCTGGTAGTGGGAATGCTCCCAGAAACATTCTATGTCTATAACATGTTAATATCTTAAAAGAACTGAGCCAGACACTACTGAAAGTAAGTTAGAAATATGTACAAGACCATAAATTACAAATTAGGAAAGCTTCAGAACTGAAAAATATGGTAAAAATACTACTGTCTGAAACTAAAACTTAAAAAGACCAAAACAAAAACAATAATTACTGGTAGGGACTGAGAGATTTATTTAAAAATAAGCTATGGACTGATGTTTTAAGAACTAAATTCCAATCTAATTGAGGAAGGTGCAACCTCAGTGACTACTACCATTATTTCCCCCAAAACAAGACCTAACTAGAAGATAAGCCCTAGCATGATTTTCAACGATGCACACAGTGACTACTACCATTATTTCCCCCAAAACAAGACCTGACTAGAAGATAAGCCCTAGTATGATTTTCCAGGATGCACATAAGCTCGATCCCAAAAATAAGCCTCAGTTAACCATCCACCAAATGGACACATTTAGTATGTCCAAATGCAACACATGACAGACACACTGAATTATAAAATAATATTCATTTATAATTAAATATAAATACCATTATTGACATTAATATTTAAAATAAATGACAATATAAATTATAATTAAATATTTGTAAATATCCAAACAGGCACATCTGGACAAGAGGTAAATGCCTATGTAAACAGATGAACACTAGACTTATTGCTGAATGACCAGTCAGAGTACATACACAATGCATAAATAATGTATGCACTTGATAATGAATGGATGTGGTTGTATCTAGTATGAATCTTCATAATTCAATATGTCATGTGTTTAACAAATGTACATAATGCACGCATATGAAACAAACATTTTCTGAATTTTGGTGCCTGCAATTTTTCATCACTTTTGCCAATGTCTTAAGATTTTGTGTGAGGCTGAATTTTAAAATGAAGACTAATTAAGCTGGTGATGGAAATTTCAAGGCAGCCCAACATTCAGGCCATGGAATGGATACTTCTGGCTGCTTTCAGCCATAGCCAGATTTACAGTGAAAATCAGGAGCAAAAAGTTGGGGCAAAAGAGAGTAGGATTGCTGAAAATATTAGCATTTTTTAAAAATCACATACTTTGCATCAGGACAATACGAAAGATAACTTAAAGTCATCTCAGAAACTGGCCAGGTCCTACCTATCACAGGCTCAAGGTTAGAGAAGGGTAAATTTCCTTTGAAAGACTATTTTGAGACAAGAGCTTCAGGGCACCCTGTTCAGTCACAGCAGCCAAGGAAGTATTTCTCTGAGTCTACCCATCCAGAATTGAGCCATTCAGGCATTCGGATGCCACTGGAGCTGTGGTCCATGGGATCTAACTATTGTTCAACCTGGTGACAGACCTTGGCATCATCCATATGATCTGGTTGGACTTGCATGCAGAATGCAATAGTAATGGTGTCTGGAGGCTTCTTCCCAGATTTCAGAAGGCCTCATAGGGCAGACAAAGAACCCTGGAGAGAGCAATGAATGAAGCTATGAGAGTGAACCCAAAGGTACACTGGAGACCCCAGAGGTTGTAGATTTCAAGGAACACAGAATGTCTGCCAAGGAAAGCCATGGGCAGTGAGAACAGCTAGTCCAAAAGAGAGGCTATGTAGGCTACAAACAGGAGGGCCATAGAGGCAGGGCTCTCTAAGCTCTCTAGACCTACCCCACATGCTAGACATGGAGCTACAGGATTTAATGTTTGCCCCGCTGGGCTTTGGTCTTGCTTTGGTCCAATTCCTTTTTCTCCTTGTATTCCAACTCTCTGGAATGAGAATGTTTACCCTATACCTTTACGCATTATATATATTTAACTTTCTGTTTGAGTTTTTTCAGAGGGTCACAGCTAACAGTTTGCCTTGAGTCTCAGAGGAGATTTTGGATTTGGACCTTTAACATTGCTGAAACTATTAATAACCTTAGTGATGAACTAAAGGCATGTTGCATAAGGATATGAATATGAGTCTTCTGGGAGGTAGGAGATGCATGTAATGGTTTAGATCTAAAATGTCCCTCAAAAGTCTCATGTGGTTGGAAGGTGATTAGACATGAGATAATCAGTCCACTGGTAAGTTCACAGCTTACTTCTTATTAGGAGGTGGGACCTGGGTGGAGGTGAGTCACTAGAGAGGTGATCTGGAAGAGTTTATTCTTGTACCTGGAACCTCCCTTCTTTCTCTGCTTTCAACCACCATAACAAGAGCAGCTTTCCTCTGCCAGGCCCTTCTACCATGGGATTTCTGCTTTGGAGCCAGCCAACCATGGACTGAACCCACAGAAACTATGAGCCAAAATAAACCTCTCCTTTAAATTGTTGGTGTTGAGCACTTTGTCCAGGATCAGCAAATCTGATGAATACAATGCTGAACACCTGCTTACTTGCTTGGTACCTGGAATTTTGGTATATGCTAGGGCAGAGGTTCTTATAAGCCCTGAGTAAAACTCTTGAGAAATTAATCCCTAATAACCTTCCCTGGGCAGCAACATTACACAAGTTTTTACATTTTCATTGCTGGGAGATGAGTGCACTACATATGACCCTTCTTAAAAAGGAGGTAACATAAGGAAACCTGAAAACAGATTCCTCCATTCTATCTTTCTCCTTTTCTCTAATAATATGGATATAGATAGATATATCTCATCTCACTATATTAAGTCTTAGTCTTGAGTACAATTATGTACTGTATTATGTGAGTCCTTTTAACAATTTCCAAACATGAGATTGTCTTGGGAAACCCTGACACATATAATTTTCCTTATTTTTCTCCTGAGTATTGGAAAAGGGACAGTATAGAGACCCAGAAATAGACAAATATAAATATGCCCACTTGGTTTTTAAAAAACAAGCAAAACAATCAAGTTACAAAGGTAGCCTTTTGAAAATACAATGTAAGGGCAAACTTCAATTGACCAATTCCTAAATTAATGAGATCTGGTAATGACTATCTAGTTATATAAATATGCTTAGTATTTTCAAGATTATGCCCACAAGCTAATAAAAATCCCTCATAACAAAAGCTAATACATTGGACTAAAAAAGACTCCTGCCCTGAAAAGGTTGACATATTTATTCCTTCTAACAATAAAACAAAAAATTTGTTTTATTTCTTTTCTCTATTTGAGAATGTGTATCTTTACTAACTTTCAAATGACTAAGTGGCAAGTCAGGAGCTTGCACTAAAGGCAAATTACATAAACTCTAAAAGCCCTAAACATAAAATATAGGCAATTGTGCAGAACAAAAAGTAAGATAACGTTCAGTGATATATAGATATAGATATAGACAGATGTATACTTATATAGAGATAATCAGATCCAACGTAGTATGTGGTACAGAGTAAGAACTCAGAGTAAGAAATGCTACTTTCATATACCCTTCAACCCCCATCTCCTTTAATCTTTTTCTCATCTCCTGATAAATAGGTGGGGGAATGAAGATCACACTGATTATATAGATGAAAGGAAGCAAAGAAAATCAAGGAAAAATGTTAAGAAACAAAAGAATCTCAAAACTTCTAGATTATGAAAAGCTTTAGAGATTACCTCCTCAAACAACATAATCAGATGACCTAATGACAGTCACAGTATCCTATTGTCTTTACGTCCAATAAACTTTAAAATAAGTCATTTACCATGTGTATCTGCAAAACTATAAAATGTAGAGCCACTTAGTCATTTGTAAGTAAGTAAAGAAATACATTCTCAAATACAGAAAAGAAAATAAAAACAATTCTTTTAATAGTATATGTGCAATATTAAGTTATTGTAAGTATATGTGCAATATTAAATTTTATGTTTATAATTCAAATTGCATTGCCTGTTGACACAACATGGACCAAGGGCTCTTAAAGAACTCAATCATGTTGGCATCCTGATCTTGGAATTCCAGCCTCCCAAACTGTGACACCCAGTCTATGGTACTTTTTTTAACAGCCCAAACTGAGTATGACAGAAATTTAATAACAAGTTGTAAAAAGAACTATATTATAAACAAGAGAAGTAGGACTCCTAATATTCTATGTGGTTCAACAGGATAGATGGAGTTATCATTCACTGAAATAAGGAATAATAAGGATTGAACTAGGTGAGGCTGGACTATATTGAGAGATTTTTATTTCAGTCTTAGACATGTGGATTGTGGAGTATTTCTAAAACATCCAAAGAGGCATATCAAGTAAGCAAGATAAATGTAGGTCATCTTCAGCATATCACCTAGGGAAACACTTCAGGAAAATGAGTTACATAGCCTCAGACATGCCTTCAGTAACTCCAACATGGATTGGCATTGATCTGAGTTTGCAGAGGTAAGACTTAAAAAAGGAGTGACTGACATCCTGAGTTCCAGTGGTCAAGAGAAATGAAGGAACATGAAGTCAGCAAAGTCAGATACTCCTTACAGTTCAAGTAAGATAATCACTAAATTTAACTATCAATGTAGAAGCCATTGATAATCTTAGAGATACCTACTTCTACAGTGATAGCGCAAAGGCTGTAAGAGAGAAGGGGAAGTGGAAAGGAAAGGGAAAAGGGAAGGGGAAGGGGTGGAGGAGGGAGGGGGGAAAAGAAAGAGAAAGAGAGAAAGAGAAAGTAAAAGAGAGAGAACGAGAAAAAGGGAAAGAGAAATTGGGAATTGAAATGAGTGAGCACAATTACTCTGAGAACAAATTTAAGGGAACAGAAGCTAAAGAAAGTAGTAGGGGAGGTACGGATATTAATAAAGGATTTGGGGGGTCAATGATACAGTGTAGTAGATGGTAGAGTGCAGAGCACCTGCCAAGCATGTGCGAGGCTCTGGGTTAGATTCCTAACACTACAAAAAGAAAGAAAAGGGTGGGGGGGAGATGTTGGAGAAGTGTAGGGAGAAGACTGTTATTATTTTTGTTTTTGGACTCTAGACAAATACATATATATATATATATATTTGGGGTTTTTTTGTACCAGTGATTGAGCTCAGGTCCTTGCACTTACGCGGCAGGTGGCGAAACCACTGAGCTAAATCTCTGGCCCTAGACAAATATATTTTTAAATGAGCACAAAGATTCAATTGAGAAGAAAAAGCAAACATAATATATAAATAATATAAAATTTCTGGGAAAGTAAGGGATGATAGGATATCAAAAATTAATTCACCTGAAATGGACTTAGAATGAGGAACATCTTTGAAATAAGGAGAAAGAATGGCTCATAATATGAGTAGGGTTAGATATCTAGTTCCTAAAAATAAGGCAATTGTCAACTAATGCTTCTAATTTTTTCTGCAATGTAGATATCCATCTATTGACTATAATAAAGGAAATACAGTAAATGGGTAAGAAATTTGACAGAGGGCTGGGGATTTAGCACAGTGGTTCTGCTGCCTGCCTCGCAAGCACAAGGTCCCAAGTTCAATCCCCAATACCAAAAAAAAAAAAAGTCTGGAACATATCTTAAAAAAAAGAAAGAAAGAAAGAAAGAAATTTGACAGAAGCGAACAATATTTGAAAACTTGTGCAGAAAGTAATAGCAAATATGGATCAGAGAAATCCAATACATTAGAATTTTTTTGAGAACGTTAATAAATCAAACAAGCTGTTGGACAGCAAGAAATGTATATGGGCCAGTCAGAAAAACCACACCAACAACCTCTGTTACAGAATCAAGCCACTACCGATCAGATTAGCAATTTGAAGTTTTAGGTGAAAATTTCTATTTTGAAGCAGTAGAAAAGATGTCATTAGTAAAACACAAGAGTTTAATAAGACAAAGTAAAAGGAATCAGCAAGATCAGTAAGACACACAACAGTAAGAAGAAAATCGACACAAGAAATCTCAGAGATTTTTATAGGTAAAGCAGACCACTATTTTCTAGTGAGTTAGTTTGTTCCCTTCTAACACAGTAAAGCTAATTTCTAACATAATATTAGTCTGCACTTTCTAAACAAAGAAACTTACAGTGCTTCTGATAAAAATAGATGTAGAAAAATAAAGACAGCTTTTAACAAAAGATTCTTCAGAAAATACTTCAAATTGTTAAAAACATTAGACATATAATCAGTACACTATATTTACAAAAACAGTCACTGTTCGAGAGTCCTAGAAAGTAACTCAACTACACAAAGTTTTAAATTTAAGATGTAAATTTCCATTTCCAGAAAAGTTATGTTTATAATACCATGTAACTGACATACTTCTGTAAAATTGGATCAATTAAACTTTCTACCTTCAAATTGTTTTTCTTTACTCACTCAGACTTGTTTATACAGGACTTAGAAGACTCTTCAATTCTCTTCTCTAGCTCCAGGACAGCCTCCTCTTTATTTACAAGCATCTGCTGTGTCTGCATAAGTTCTTCTGCTAAATTTTTCAACCTAGAATGAACAATTTCAACATTATCAATCAACACACTTTAAAAAATCAACACATTAATTATGCTGACTTTACACATATAAAAAAATTTCACACATCTAAGATTATGATATCCAAAACAAGAGATACATGTAATTTAAGTTGAAATTTCAGTTCCTTGGTTGCAACAGCCATGTCTTAAGTGCTAAATAGAAATATGTGGCTAGTGGCTGCTTTACTGGATGGAAAAAAAAGAACATATCAATATTCAGAGTAAGCACTCTTGGGCAGTGTTAGTCTAGTCTTATTTCTGCAAATAGAGAAAGACAAATGGAAAGAAAGTAGTAAATATTAAAAAAAACTAAAATAAACAATGTATCTGTCATGTCCCATAAGTATACAATGGGAAGAGCATGTTTTTTGTTGTCAGACAAGCATATGTTCACATTCTGGTTTTGCTGCTTTTTATCTGACACTCTGGACAAATTATTAAACTCACTGAATCCATTTTCTTATTGGTAATACTGGTATAGTTACATCTGCCTCATAGCACTGTTTTAAGGAGCAAAAGAACCAATGTACCACCTATTTAATGACTGGTACTTGGTGAACACTAAATTAATGGTAACTATTATAAACTACATATGCTATCACATTTAACTTTCATAATAATCATGACAGACACTATTAAACTTATTTTAAAGAACAGAAACTGAGATTCAGTTTAAATTGATGATAAGCTATTTCTAAGTCCCTATATTACAATAATATGTTAGAAATATTTTTTTCATTAATTAAGTTTATTGGTACATTTTAGGTATACAATATGATGACATTCATCATTGGGAATTTGTACCTTTACATTATACATCTTGGTCCCCTGCCTTCCCTTCAACCCTTCCACCACTCCCTATTTACAAAGACTTTGTTTCCATTTTATTAGAAGAAATAGAATCAAGATACATCATGTAAAGATACAAGATCCCAATGATGAATGTAACTGTATTTTATACCTAAAATGTACCAACAAACTTAATGGGAAAAAAAAAGAAATAGAAATATTTTCTATATAGATTTAAAAATAATATACATAAAATGAATTATGTACACACAGAACAAATAATTTTTGGTTGCATATAATGCATTTACTCCCTAATGGAAAAATTTCTATCATAAAAACATACATATCTATCTGGTAACATTAGAATATTTATCTTCACCCTTTCGAAGCAAGATATGAAACCCAAAAGATACAAAAGAAAATACTAAATAATCTAATTCTGTAAAAATTTAAATTTATTTGAAGTTAAAGAAATCATAACTCAAAAGCAAGTCAAAATTACAGATTGACTGAAATATCTGCAGTACAAATTATAAGCAAAAGCCCTTATACTGAAGAAAAACTCTTACGAGACAAGCTAACATGAAAAAAGACAACCCACAATAGTAAATTTATCGAGAAAAAATTCAAATGATCCATAAATATGTGGAACTATTTGGTATGTAACCCACAAATAAATATCTTCAGATTAAACAAATAGCAAGTTATCTTTCAAAGTTGACATGTATAAAAGATTGATAATGTCCAGTATTTATAATACTGAGAAACACTCATACACTGTTGATATGAAAAAATTGGCACAAATTTTTTAAAGGTTAACTTGGAATTGTCTCTCAAATTTTAAATGAGAATAGTCTTTGATCATCTAAAAGCCTCTGTTACCAAAATATTTGTACGACATGCACAAAATCTGTTCATTTCAAGATGTGTTACAATTATTGTTTACAAAGCAAAAAACTAGAAAACATTTAAATGTCCATCAATAAAGCAATAGCTGAGTAAATTTTAATTTATGTATGATATAAAATAGCACATACTGCCACTAAAAAGAACAGGGTACACATAGATAAAGAGTCTTCCCAGATATAATTTTTAATTAAAAGGTAAGATGTAGAGCACCATATTGCTCCAATATATATTAGAGCATATGAATGTGTAAATGTGCTCTGGACTGAATTGTGTTCCCAAAATTTATCTGTTGAAACCCTAACCCCAATATGATAATATTGGAGATGGAGCCTTTGGCAGGCAATTAGGATTAGATGAAGTCATTAGGGAGGGCTCCTTACAATGGAATTAGTTCCCTTATAATTAATAGAACTCACATTCAATTTTCTCTCTCTCTCTCTCTCTCTCTCCCCCGCCCCCCACTTATATAGAAAAAGAGGTGTGAACACACAGGAAGAAGGTAGACATCTATAGGTCAGAAAAAGAACCTTCATTAGGAACTGGAGGGGCCGATATCTTAATCTTAATCTTGGAATTATTAGCTTTCATACTTCTGAGAAACAAATTTCTGTTATTTTAGGCACCCAGTTTATTGGTAATTTGTACAGCAGCCAACCAAACTAATACTATCAGTATATATTTATGTGCATGTTTGTATGTGAATGCATGAGAGAAAAACCAGATGACACAAACAAAATTTTTATCAGTGCTCTGAGCGACATGGGATTGGGGTATAGTATGACTTTTGACTCAAAAAAAAGCCTTTCATAGTTGGTTCATATCTATAGTGTTTTAATCTTATAAGAATGAATTTAATTTTTAATTATTAAATAATAGGTAATAGAGATGAAAGGGACAGAAAAGTTATGACACACAATCAGAAAAACTAAAAATACAGCAATCCAGATTATTTCATATTTAGAGTTTAAAAACATAATAAATCTCAGTAGACTTCTGAGGGCATTAGGATATAGCAAAACAAAATCAGTGATGTTTATACTAATAATCCAGAATTACCAAAGAAAGATCAAATTAATGTGATGATTTTTTTCTTTAAATCTTATATAAGGTATTTTCATCAAATCTAGGAAATTACGCTTTTGAATATGATGGAAAACACACTTTGGTTATCTGGAAATTCACTTGCGTGGAAGACTTCATATTATGACTAACATATAAAGAAGGCATTGCTACATTAAAATTTAGAGATCATCATCAAGGAAGCTACATTTCAATCCCAGGCTTTAAATTACTTATTAAACAATTATAAATAAGTAAATAATACACTATGCTTTGCTGTTTATAAAACTTTGCCTTCTACATGATCTCATTTAATGCTGATGAGAGTACACAAGGGGCCTGCCTCAGAAACTGTCTCTGTCACTTTCCACCACCAGTCTGAACCAGGTTGTCATCACGGTCTTAGCCACTTTACTTCACAGTGGCTTCAGCACAAAGCTCCTTCCTACTCTTCACCACCTTCTTCTCTGTTCTTTTTCTTCTTCATTCTATGATTTATTTCTTATTCTCTTCTCCTCCTGACATACTTTCCACCTCTCTTCTCAACACTTTCATCATTCATTTAAGCAAGCCTTTACTAAAGACCTTCCCTGTCTTATTCTGCTGAACACCAGGGCTACTACAATAAACAAGTCTGCCTTCAGGAAACTCACAATCTACTAAAAGACTACAAAGAAAAAAGGGTAAATAATTTAGAAAAGTAAAATTTTGTGGAAAAAAGTATTTTTCCTTTCTTACAATCATCCTTCAGAAAAACCCTGAAGTGTGTGGATTAAGTGAAGAGAAAAATATGCTAGTGAATTTAGTTTATCTATAGATGACATAATCAGTGTAATAATTGTTTGCAATTTTCAAACTATTATTCCCCATTATGCTATTACTACACATTTTCTGTGCAACTGTAACAATCAACTGTTCAATGGCTCATTCTTTGTATTTCTAAATTAAATATCTTGGTAGTTTAATGCAAACCAGTTACATATTATAAAATAAATGCAAGAAAAAAATCTACTAAGTGACATAATAATTATAGAGTGCCAAATACAGTTTTAAAGCACTTTGTAAATAAGCACTTAAATGTAATTCTTGTAACAAACTACTATTACCTCCATTTACATTTGAGTAACTGAGCCACAGAGAATATAAAAATTTTAGGCAAGGTTAAAGAGCTGGTCAAATAGAAGGCCTGGTAATAGAGCCCAAGCAGCTAAAAATCTGAATCTATTTTCTTAACTAATATTCTGCTGTAAATAATTCTTTCTAATAGTATATTCTATACATGCTTCAATGAGTGCATAAAGATATAAATATAAAGGTATTTACTGAGGCACTGCTTAGAATCATAATTTCTAGTGATACTTTTCCCTCTAAATTTTATTTTTTTATTTTTTATTTTTTCCAGTACCAGGGATTGAACTCAGGACCTTGAGTGAGGCAGGCACGATGTCACTAAGCTAAATCCCTGGCCTCTCCCCATCAATTTTATAAGCCTTTGATCCCATAAAAGCTGGATCTACCCTTGGCAATAGGAAAAAACTGGAAATGTCCATCAACAAATATCCTAAATTAATTACATTACATGCAAGCGGTAAAACACTGTACAACATTAAGAAGTTATCATACATGTTAAGAAAACAGAGTGATCAAAAAAGTATGAGAAACATCCTAGTAGGCTTGAGTTCATCTGAGTCTAAGAAAGTACAACTCACCTAAAGACCCCCAAATTCCCAGGAGGCTGCCAAGTTTGCATGGGGGAGATAGAGCTGTACACAGTGCCTTAATGGAAATGTAGTTCAAGGCCGGAAAAGTGATGCTACTGGTAATAAAAGGTAAGCATGTCTTGCCCTAAGCCTGGCTGATCAAGGGGAATGAGCTGAGCCTCCACACAGAGACTTCTGGGAGTGCTCACTTGCCCTCAGAGTGTGAAGGAGCAGCGCACCAAGTGGATATTTTGTCTGCAGGACCACTTCCTTGTGTATCCCTGGAAAATACACCTTCCTCATCCTTCTGAAGGATGTGCCTCCGGACTCAGCCTGAATTCTAGAATCGTATTTTGGTCACAGTATTAAAAGTCTAATGCTGTCATTTTCTCCAATAGCAAGTTTAAAGAGACCAAAAAGACAAACTGGATGGTGGGTGAAAGAAGTGGAAAGAATCTATCTAGAAGAGACCTAAGAAGATAATGAATAGAGAGACAGCAAGCCTTTGGAGACA